CCCCCACACACAAATAGTTCAATACACATACAAGTACTTTAGTAAGTAGCTCTTTCAAGCTCTGTGTTTTCAATAATAACTTTTAATACTGTTTTAGAACTTGTTTGCTATAGTATTAACTTTAATGCTGTTTTACAACTTAACTGTTTACACTTTTGTTTATACATGTATCATTGTTCGTAAGTAGTGTATTTAATTTTAAAAATTAATTTGAAATAAAATTGGAGGCTCTTACAAAGCAAATAGTAACTGCAATGATAATAGTAATTTTATATTGTTATAGTATTAAAATTAATGGGTAAAATCTTACAATTATTATTAACTAGATGAATGCCATAATTAAGGGGGCTAGCATGAGCCATCAATTGACATTTTTTGACTCAGATAAAAATAAATAGATCAATCCCACTTTAAATTTATTTCTTAAATAAATTTAATTTTTTAAATTGAAAAAAATTATATAGTTATCTTATTTGTTATATATATATTTTTTTAATTTTAATTTATTCATTTATTTATTTTTAATTTATTTTTTACTAGATCTATATTTCTGTTATTTCTTTATCTTATTTTTTAATTTTTTTTACTTTTGTATTGTATTTTATTTGATTTTTAGTGATAGCATAGAGATAGTAAGGTGGTAGCTTGAGGTGGAACACAGACTACAGTGTTATCTTATCCTGATTGTGATTGAGCATGCACTGCATGACAGGATTCCCGCCTCCAAAAATGGCCTCATGCTCAAAAATGGCTGAATCATGTACTGAGGATAGTAATCTCGCTACGCGAGACTACGAGGCTAATGAGATTACACCTACTGCCTCCATTCTGAGTGGAAGAACCTTAAGTGAGTGGTAGTGGTTACAACATAGTCATAAACCAGAATTTTCTGTTTTTATATTATATTATAGACATTAAAGATCTTAGTGAGGTGGTTAGATTACTTGAAAAGCACAACTGTAGCAAAAAAACCTATTATAGGCTTGGTCTTTCTCTTAAACTGTCTTACAATGCACTGGAAATCATTGAGGGACAGTATACCAAAATTGATCGACGTTTTACTGAATGCTTGGCTCTCTGGCTGCGTAGTGCTGAGAAGCCAACAATACCTGAATTGATAACTGCTCTAAGGGAAACAGATAATGCTGTAGCAAATGCTATATCGAATGCTGTAGCTGATGGTGTTAAAGAAAGTGAGTACTTTGATAATTGTGTCACTTTTAAAATTTTTTAGTTATTCCAATGTCTGAATCTGAATCCTTGTCAAATCTCAGCAAACCTATAGTCACACCGTCTACATTAGAGGTCAATCAAGGTACAAAACATGTAGCGTAATTATAGCAATAGCAGGAAATTTTTTAGGGGTTTAATTTTTGTGAATTTTGTGTTTAAATAATAACACAAAACATAGGAATTGTATTTTGATTCACACCTTATAAAGACTCACCACACTTTGCATTGGAAAGAACAGTATGTAGTAGTGATGGCATCCAGAGTATTTGATCCTTTGATTCCAAATGGAAGCATACTCATATCAAAAGAATTATTTCTAATGATTTTAAAATAAACCACACCGTTAATAAAATAGTAGTTATTGAATTATTATTGTTGCATTTTTATTAAAAGAGTACTATACCGTATAGCAAAAAAAATTTATGAGGAATAAATTTTTTTATTTTCGTAATCACTGTTTGCATCACAAAAAATTAAACCTCTCAAAATAAATATTAATTGAAGCCTTTCGAAGAGTGTGGTCAACCACACCTTACTAATACGTGTGTATGTACATGTGTGCATGCCCTCATGTCTGAACAAGTTGTGTTCTCGGTCAAGTTGATATCTTTGTACCGCTATTTTAAGCCTAGAGGCAAGGTCAAAGATGATCTTAGTAATCACTGCTGGTGTCCACACTGTTTTGTAGATGTGGTGCCCCCTGACACAGGAGTCCATCTCAATCTTCCACGTTTTAATTAAAATGGGCATGTTCAATTATTATTACTAAAATAAAATTATGAAAATATTTTTCACAGAATAATTTCTCCCATAAATTTGATTATTCACAAAATTTTAAGTCTTAAAAATTTTTTGATTATATGGTAATAGATACCATATAGAAGGAAGTTTTGGAGTGAGCTAAATTTGGTGAATTGCTAAATTTTGGTGATTGATAAATTTTATTTTGTCAAATTTGTGGCCATGTGCCATTGAGCATGCACATAATAGCTCAAAATGGCAGATTTTTATTTTGGCAAGTGGCTATCAAAACGCCAAATTCAACAAATTTAATTGCATGTACCTCCAAAATTTCCTTTTTATATGGTTTTGTACAAGCTCAAGTGTAGTACTGTATAGCAAGAAATTTTTGTGGACCAAAATTTTCACAGATCCGTCTAAAAATAAGTTTTGTGGCTTTAATTTTTGAGGTTTTCTACTTTTCGGGCATTTTGAACTGTATTAAATTGATTTTTGTGAATTTTATTTTCATAAATTTTTTAAAAACGGGAAATCCATGAAAATTTTGGGCCACAAAAATTTTTGTTATAGGGTATTCGGAATTGGTATTTAATTTCACTGATTCCAGGCCCAAAGAATTTGAAATCAGAATTGATTTCTAATTCTGGATTCACCCATTACTAATATATAGCCAGGATTTGAAAGAAGGGGATGTTGTATATCTGCATGCACAAGGCCATGCCCATTAATTGGGTTTTGTGCATTTTGCTCATTGTTATAAAATAAGAAGGTTAATATAATAGTACACCTGGACGTGTCTAATGATTTTGGGTACTGCTTAAATGATTTGGCCTAGTACCTTGCTGTTTAGGCCCAAAAGTTTAGTAAATATTTTGAACATACATGTATACTGAAGGGGGCTCAAGCATCTATGTAAAAACCCCCGGCAATACACTTGCATGGGCAATTAAGGGTGTTAGTTTTTGACTAAATTACAACTCTCTGCAAGAAATGTCTGCTATAGAGTTTTTGTGTATTGATTTTATTAATTTAATTAATTCATTTTATGATGCAGCTCTGTTTTTATTATTGTTTTTAGATCATCCACGTCAACCTGTCTCCAATCCAGGTATGAGTTTTGCCTATTAAGCTTCAATTAAATGCCATAATGAATTCACACATTACCTTCAAAAACCTGAGGTTGCATGAAGTGACACCATTCAAAAACCTGAGGCTGCATGAAGTGACACCAATGGTGTCACTTCATGCAGCTTCAGGTTTTTTGACCAAATCAGTGAAAGAAATCACTATAATGATTTTTATAACAAAGTAATGATTCTTACTAAGCCTGCTTCTAGTCAAGTTTTAATGGAAAGTTGTTTGCCTTGTTTTTGCTTAATTGTTCTTTCTTGTGTATGCAAAATGTAGTATGGTAGGCATGCAAAATGTTACTTTAGTTTTAAACTCTTGTGGCATTTTTGTTGATCAAGTATAACAGGTATAATTTGTAGTGTCTCTAAAAGTGACAGAATTAAAGCTTTATCTGAAAATATTGTATTATTAGGTGTTCATGAAATGGAAACTGTAATGGATCGCCTATCTATACTAAAGCCAATAACTCACAGTTTAAGGCAGAAATACATTGACCTTGTTGTAGCAGTAAAACGCTCACTACAAGATCATGGCGTTAAGTTGGAAGATGCAAAACTACTTCTAAAAGAATGTTTTAAGGATAAAACCAGAGACTATCCACCATTAAAGGAAGTTATTAATTCTCTAAAAGAGGTTCAGGATTTTAATGGCTTATTTGACTTCCTAAGTGACCGAAGCTTTATTGGTTATCTCAATTACAATCTGCTGAAAAGATTATCAAACCTTAGTCCTCATGATGATGATCTTATGAACCAAGTTTACGATTATGAAAAAAAATATGCTGAGTTACTGGATAAAATTTCGTGCAAGGACTTGGTACATTTATTTGATCAATGGTCTGAGCTCTCCCCCACCATTCCTGTTGGTTTGCCTTATATTTCCTTTCGTCTTGACTCTCCTTGGCTTCTATATCGTTTTTATACTTGGATATTAACCTTTGGTAAATTCTCATGGTCAGAAGATGCATTTCTCAAACAATTGCGGAAAAATTGTATTATCATCACTTATGCTATACTGCCATGTGTTCTTGATGATGTCATGAGAGATCTCAATGATCCAGTGATATTGAAGAAGCTAGAGAATAAAGGAGTTACTGTAATTGAATTACTACAAGAAGAGAAATGTGAGTTATGAATTAATTCAAATTGCATGTACGTACGTATACATGTATTATGGTGATTTGATTTTATGATTATAATAGATATTGTTCATAAATCAACACCCAGCAAAGAAGGTAATTTTATGCCAAAAATTTTTTTTATTGATAACTTTTGTATTATCCAGTAGACGAAAAAATTGATTTCATGGATAAAGAAGTACCAGCCATAGATTTTTAAATTATAAAATTATTTGCATATTTAGGAATCAATTTTGAAAGCTATACCTTCTTCCCTCGCACAACTAAAGACTGAATCAACAGAGCAAAGCATTGCTGACAGTGATACTATCTTGGTATGTGTAGCAGTTTTTGCAAATTTCAGTGATGTTTATTTAAGATTATCATTAACTGCAATGAATTGTTTGTGACATATCACACGTAAGATAAAGTTTATATATATAAAATTACCAACATAAAACCTTATTCTACATGTGATGTATTCAATAATTTTGTGCTTGCATGATCACATGGGATCTGCAGGTTTTTTTCAATTGTTAGCACTATCTAATAGACAGATAATTATGTACAGGTACATGCTCTCGAAGTCAATTAGAACAGTTACTCACTCATCAGACAGTGGCTTAGTCCCACATAACCAGATTCATTCTTATTTTTGTCCAAATGTGGAAGAGGCAGGGTTGCCAGGAGGATTTTGGCATAAAAAATACAAGAAGGAAATTCTATGTTGTAATTTTTTTAATGCATATATACATGTACTTATGTTGTTTAAAAACATTTGAGCTGACTCTGATCAAATTAGATTTTTATAAATTTTAAAAATTTCTCAATATTTGAGGCAAAATCTTTGTACTATAGTACATGGTCTTGGGCTAAATTTTGCTAAACTTGAAAAGGATGGACTTCTCCATTCTTATATTTTTTCTTGATGTATATACATGTATTGATGTTGTGAAGGAAAGTTTTAGCTGATTTTGATCAAAATTATATATTTCAATGAATTTTTAATTTGCTCAATATTTGGGTCAAAGTCTTTGTACTATAACATGGTCTTGATTTTTATTTTTCCTGGTTCATATAGATTTTCATGTATATACATGTGTATGTTGTGTAGAAAGTTTGGGCTTATTCCAGTCAAAAAAATTGGATTTTTAATGAATTTTAAAGCTGCTGCATATGCCATGTACTGTACTTGTGCTAATTGTCATCTCATGAAGTATGCTGTTTAACTCACTTAGCATGTATGCTTTGTAGAAAGCCCTGCTAAAAGGGAGATGGATCTGTGAAATAAAATAGTGGCTACTACAAGGTTTCAATCATGTTCATAATAGTAATTAAGTTTTATTTCACAGGCTAGATTCTATGAAAAATAGCCACTAAGAAATACCTCTTGCAAAATGCATTATTTTTGCAAAAAATTAAGTTATTAGCTAATTAAATTTAGTGATTTTTAGTATTAATAAAATGGCACCTTTCAAATTTTAATTCCTTGACAATGAATTCTGGTGTATTTAACTGACGGATATGTTTTTTTTGTAACTATTACTGTAATGTACATCTAGCTATAGGCTTAAATATTATTTAAAAAATTTTTTTGTAGGCAAGCAGTGTGCTGCAGGAAATGTCTTTGTTAGAGCAGGGGTCTATTAAGGAAAAAGCTATAATGGAAAGTTCCAATCTGGTACATAGAGTAAAAAATTATATTTTAAAGCATAAATATCCAAGATCAGCAAGAATTAAAATTATTAAATTTAACAAATTAGTATTGCATTTGCTGCAACTCCAATAATATTATTATGTATAGAATAAAATGTTGATAGAGGCCATAAACCCTTATACTAAACCTGAGGAGGTTATTGATCTACTTGAAGCTGGAGCTGATCCTAATGCTACTGAGGTTAGTAGTTGTGTGTAGTATTAAGAATCCTCCATCATTTAAATTTGTTTTAATAGTGTACACTTGGTGGTAATACTGCTCTTTTTAAAGCCATAAAAGAAGATAATGTTATCATTTTGGAATTATTACTGAATAAAGGAGCCAATCCTAATATTGGTTCTGATAGAGTAAGTTTGTACACAATCCTCCACACACATACTTGAGGCCCCGTTTACACTTATCCATTTTCACATGTAAACGGAGACTTTTTGATTCTGATACAGCTTGTGTTTACACTAATACATGAAAACGCATCACCTATCTGAAGCAAAATGAAAACAGATACCAAAGTGGATACTTCTATAAACGAATGATAAATCCAGGCTATGAAAATGCAGCTGCTGGATTAGTGTAAACACCTGAAACCAAGAGTAGACTCTTGCTGAAACGGATAATAGCAAAACCAACCCTGATTCAGTGAAGTGGATTAGTGTAAATGGGGTCTGAGTGAATCTTGATACAATTAACATTACATTTGTTGTTAATTAAGGTGCATTGTACATCAATTAAGCGCATAATAATTGAATCGTCAATTTTTGTTTATATTGTAGTATACTGGTACTCCTCTACACTGTGCTAGTGAAATTGGTAATGCTGATTTTGTTCATCTATTAGTATCTAAAGGAAATGCTGATGTTAATGCTGTCGATAAGGTTAACTTAAAATAGTCATAATTGTATCATTATGTTGTATCTATAGAGAAACAGAACTCCATTGTTTAATGCTGTTGATAGTGGTAATATTGAAGTTGTTGATATTTTATTAACTCACGGAGGTAGAACTGATGCTGTAAATATAGTAAGATCTATTTTATTACATGTACTTCTATTACTTTTTCCCAAAATATGAACTACTATGTAGATGTAGATGTAGTAGTATTTTATATATTTTTAATTTTCCGTTAAATGTTAGAGTATTAGCTGCACTCTTAGTTTTTTAGCTTTTTCAAGGGGACCTGATTTAGCAAAAAGTAGTAATATTAGCAAAAATAGGATAAAAATTGATGGTGAAACTCCCATTTCATGGCATAACGCTGTTTATAAAGGCCAATCTAAGCAGTTAATAGGCCCACCCTATCTACTTATACTGTTATCTTGTTACAGAGCTCTCCTATCTTGTTAATGTACATAGAAAGTTACATATTGCTATTATTAGCTACTGACTTACATGTAATTAGCATTTTTAAGTGCACTCACTAAAAACACTAAAATTGCATGGCACAATTAGTACCCACATTCAAATATCAAGCTTGATCTAGCCAATTAGATAGTTCAATATTTGTTTACATGTATATGCGCATGTTTCACATGACAAAAAGGGTTTTAAAATGCTTTAGATTATATACATTTAGCTCGATGACACTGTATTACACTATGCTAGTGAAAGTGGTAAAGCTGATATTGTTCAATTGTTGATTGCTAAAGGAAAAGCTGATGTGAACACTGTAAATAAGGTAAAGTTAATTTATTAAATAATTGTATAATTTTTGTTGAATTTATAGTGGACTAAAAGAACTCCATTGTTGAATGCTGTTGAAAGTTATAGATGCAGTATTAAAGTCATTGATACTCTACTTCATAACGGAGCTAAAACTGACATTGTGAATATAGTGAGACAAATTTTAACATGATAATTGTTAAAGCATTATGCCTCTAACTAAACCTAGAGTCAATTAGAATTATAATTGTACAATATTACGATTACACAATTGTGATTATAATTGAGGCTCAAAATCTAATTGGAATTTTTATCAAAATTGAGTAGTCATAGTGTACTGACTATTGCTCAAAATCAAAATTACTCAAAAGTTGCTCAAGAGTTTTCACATTATAATTCATTATAATTTTTAGATTTTTATAATTTTTAAGTTGCTAAAAAAATCTGGCCATGACCATACATTACATAATGGTCTCAGGTCAATTATTGCTTTGCTACTATTGCTATTATCATAGGATGGTGAAACCCTGCTCCATTGTGCTAGTAAATCTGGTAAAGCTGAAATACTTAAGTTTTTCACAAAGAGAGAAGATTGTGATGTGAATGCTTTGGATAAAGTAAATTTTCAAAATTTTAATTTGTGCACTTTTGTCTTTTGTTGTTGCCTAGTACAACAGAACTCCATTGTTTAACGCTGTTAAGAGTGGTAGTATTGAAGCTGTTGATATTCTATTAACTAATGGAGCTAGAACTGATGTTGTGGATGAAGTAATAATGCATAGGCTATTGCAAAATAAGTATTTTTATAATTATTGTTACTGTATACAAAACTATTTATTGTAAATATTTTGCAAGTGTAAAATTTTTATTAATTAAAACTCGTCCTTTTTGTGGGAGTTAAATTTTACAAATTAAGTTTTAACTGTACATTAGCACTTTTAGTAGCAAAAACAATTCAATTTTGTGTGTTTTATTTTTTATCAGAAAACATTTGCATACACCCTAGTAATTTGTAGTAAACTGCAGACTTAAGTTCATTTTGTTATCTTTTTACATGTAACTATGTTATTGTTAATAATTATGTTATTATTTTTGTCATAATTATTAGGATAATAAAATTTTACTGCATTATGCTAGTAAATCTGATAAAGTTGAAATGCTCAATTTTTGGATTAGAAGAAATTATGATGTCAATGCTTTGGATAAAGTACATGTACTTTATTTTAAAATGTTGTTTATTTTATTATTTTTTACCTATAGAACAATAGAACTCCATTGTTTGATGCTATAGATAGTGATAATATTGAAATCGTTGAAGTACTATTAAATAATGGAGCTAAAACTGATGTGGTAGATAAAGTAAGCACCTTTGTTAATAATAATATTTTATGCATGTTACATGTAGCCCTTCTGCATAATTACAAGTTTGTACAGTCAAGGGAAACAGATGTACCTACATGTTAAATGGATGATTTCTTTAATCCATTCACATGCTTTTTGTTAGTTTTCACTCCATTACAACTGATGGTCTTTAAAATGATTATAGAATTTTTGCTTTAGCAATACATTTTTAATTAATAGTTTAGTGGCTGACGATTCTATTTTTTTTTGTAATTGCATGTTACAGTCAGGTGAGACTCCACTACACTATGCTTGTATGACTGGTAAAGCTGATATTGTCAAATTATTGATTACAAAAGGAAATGCTGATGCAAATGCTCTGAATAAAGTAATGATAATTTCTATTAGTATTATACCAATAATTTTAATAATATAGAGGAGCGAGAAAACTCCATTGTTTTATGCTGTTGATAGTGGTAGTATTGAAGCTGTTGATATTCTATTGACTCATGGAGCTAGAACTGATGTTGTAGATAAAGTAAGTGAAATTTACAAAATATACTTGCTCTACTATCAGTTGAGCTAGGTTCCATTGCTTGTATGTACAGTAGTTTTAAGCCAATGTCATAAATTGTTGGATAGTCACACTACATGCAGCTTCTATTTTTATGCATATTTTAAAAGTAAAATGTTCTTTTGACTCCCATAGTTACCAGGGTGACAGAGTTGGTGTCTATTAACTTGAATACCCTAGCAAAATTAGCAATTACATTACTACCAATTAATTATCTCATAACAACTAAACCATGTACAACTTTGATAACCAGATTTGACACTTATGCCTGTAAAAAATGTACATGTATACCATGAAGCAGCTCTTTATTGAAGTTTTGTTTTGAATCGCTTTTTTATTTCTTTTTTTTTTGATTTACTGTTTGCCAACCCTTGTGCACCTTCAAACCTTTGATGTCAAAAGTGGTAATTTATGCCTTCACAGCTAGAATATCATTGCAGTAGAGTATCATTATTTTGCCTATCANACTATATACCATAAACAGAGTAATTTTTTGTATACTTATATAAATTTTTA